ACAGAACTTCCATTTCGCGCATTCCCGTTCGCTGGACGACTGTGACAGGGAAGGGTAAACAAGTGTTTTAATCCCAGCGTGGGGTTCTACCACAGGCAGCAGAACCTTGCAACCTCTCATTACGCCCCAAGTTCAATCTGAGAAAGAACACCCCCCGGAAGGTTATTCACTGACCATTTAAGACCACCTCCACCGAGAGGCAAAGACAGCTTACACAACCAGGCAGATGTACCGTTTCCAAATCGCTACAGATTTCTGGAAACATTTCCCAAGACTTGTTGAAAGCTTGGCAGGAGCAACTGTTAAACACAGGTTCTTGCACAGACCTGCACAGAATTTTAATTTAAGCTTTCAAACAGAACTTCAAAGAAAACAGCGAAAGAGAGAGCTGTGTCTTGCACAGGTACAGTGTGAGACGGAAGTACTTAGACATAGATCACAGAGGGTTAAGCAATTCCTTTTTAAATTTACAAAGCACACTTGAGTGGCGTAACACGGCAAAGCCAATTCAAGATACACCGTAATAATTTATCATGTATCAGAAAATGTTCTAGGAATTGATTAAAAACAGTGAGATCTCTCTATTCAAAAGGGTCATCTGAATCACAGCTTGAATTCAAAATCACGGTCAGGTGAGGAGCAAACCCGAGTTCAATGCAGCGACTCTAAACCCCTCCCCACTACGCTTCCCTTAGGGAAAAATGGAAATCTCAAACCAAAACCCAACTTCTAGCAAAAGAAAAACAACATACTCAAGAGCCACCATTTTTCTATGGAGAACTAATAGCTTTTACACTAAGTAAGAGTTCTGAAAGAACTCCAAAACCTTACGTTCCTGGAGTTACATATCTGGCCTATCTCAAGTACGATAAGAAAACTGAAGAATCTATACATGTTTCTTTTGGAACAAAACCTTCTGCTGTCCAGCAAGAATAAAGTGGAAAAATGTTTGAGTTTTCTTTTGGAAACCAAATATTAGTCTTGGCTTAGCAAGTGAGACAATACACTCCCTCTTGTGAAACAAAAACACATCGTTCATATCAGGCACGTCACAGCCAGCTGACAAGTAACGCTTCCGCAACGTGACAAACTGACAATCGCTCGCACCCGGCCTGACAATAACCAGGTAGGGAACGTTTTCTGCACCCAACGTGGAACACAAGGAGAAAATTCTGGAGGCGGCACTATTCATGACTAAGGTTTAAACGAGACCACGTCTTCGGCTGTTGAGAATACAATCCAGGTTTTCAGTACCGTGTTATTATTTGAAAGTGAGATCTTAAAACACGTCAGGACCCTGACAGCCTCACAGTCAGTAGAGAAACCACAAGGTAAAAAAAAAAAAAATAAATCTTTTCACTAAATGCATCTCTCCAGCCTCCTTGGCAGCTGAGAAAGGCCATCGTTCCACGGAACGTCCGACACGCTCGCTCGCGCGGCCCCGAAGCCCCCCGGCACCACCCGCGCTCCCCTCCCCAGCGGCGGCACCGGTACCTGTGTCTGAGGGCCGGAGGGCGTCTGTGTCACACGTGAAGAAGTTCTGGTGATCTTGCGCGGACAAATTCATGTCGTAGTACGTAAGGGGCTCCTTCCCAGTCACCCACATGTATCTTTAACAGGAGAAATTCCAGTGAGAGGCATACCCTGTAAACAGTGTAAAAAGGGGGTGTCTGACGCCCCCGACAACTGAAACTAGTGCAGAGAGTTTTTGTTAACGAAAGCCTGGAGCTACTAACCAGAAATTTCAAGTGCTCCTGTTCCATAACCTGTACAGGCTGTAAAGTTCTAAACAACTTGGGAACTGGCTCCCTACAAAACACCTTTTCCTATTAAATAACACAAAGAGACTTACAACACAGCCCTACCAGTTTAATAAAAGAGAATTTTGATTCAGAATCACTGTCTCAACCTCTGAATAAAGTTTTTCTACTACTTTACTCTCAAAAAACCTGATCATGTCACAGTAATATTTGCATTCTTAACAATGAAACTGCCAAAGCTTGGATAGGTGCCTTTTAAACACAGGATTGGCATCAATCACCCCTATAATCTCGCAGGTCTCAGCTGTCTCCTGATATTACAAGTGCAAGCCCTGTGAAGAAGGCATGTGTGTGTCCCTGATTAATTTTAAAAATACACGATAGAAAGTAAGGTAACTAATACCTGCTATACTCTGCCCCTCTGAAAAGGTTGAGAGGATTTCGCCACACTTTGCACTCTGGAAAAAAAAAATTACTTTTTTAATTAAGAGTCCAGGAAATACTGCCTTGACTTTAAAATGCAGTCATGCAAACGCAGTTTTACTTTCAAAAGCTGCTTTAATTTTATTGTTATGCAACCTGAGTACAATCACATGATCTTCTTCACAAACTTCTGCTATCCCATAAATATTTTTGCTCCCCAACACCGCTGGGGTACAAAAGCACACGGCGGAAAGCTCAAACGCCGTCATTAACGCTCACGCCATGTTTACCTCGTACATACTCAGAATAGTAAATATCTAATGTTACTGAAACAGGCTTAGCTAAATGGGTCGTATTTTCTAAGTCACATTTTTAATAAATCACAGACACATCATTATTTGGTTTATTTTTACCATTACGAATAAAACACGCTGTAAGATGCAGGCCCAAGCACTAATGAAGAGCCAAAGCCAGTTCACGTGAACCAGCCGCCCTGAAGCTGAAGGAAAACTGCCGGGACACCCACGATCACCTGGCATGTTCTGCCGGCTCGCCTCGCTCTCTCCAGCGGAGAACGCTGCTGGTGCCGGAGGGCTGTTTTCTGCCCCGCCAATGAGGGGCCTCAGATGGCTCACAGAAACCTGCTCGATGAACGACGTGCCGTATTTTCGGAAGTGCCACCACTCAAACACCTATGATGGGAGAAGAAAGCACCAGAAGTTTCCTCAGGCAACACCCTTCCAACATAAACATCAGAGACAAAGTGCCAGTTGTTCACAGCTACTGCATCCCCCTGCAAATGACTATAGGTGGAACTTATCTACATACAAATTAACACTAATTATCTGGTTTGGCCTGTCTTGTCATGCAGGATCACCCACCTAACATGAAAGAGACTGAACAACCCAGTAAAATTTTAGTCAAACAAGTATGTTCCTCCCCAAGTCATTAGGATAACTTGTAAACCCTTTCAGAAAGCGCCAGTACAGGGAAACTGTGCATGGAGGCAAGAACCTCAAGACAGGTAGGTTTTTTATTATACAAAAATAATCTAAAAGAATAAGGAACAAAATGGAGAAACAGGCATGTTCTGCCATTCAGAAAAGTCCGAAGAGAAAAGGCTGAATTAACAGCAATCAAGCACACTTACCAGAAATTTTGGGTCAAAAACATCACCCTCTCTCTCTTTGAAGCTATCAAAAATACCTGCGTGTCACAAGTCCTCAGCACTGCACCACACTGTCAGCCCTGGACCAACTTATCAGAGTATTTTCATTAGCACGCAGAAAGATGTGAAGTTTAGACAAACTGTATTCTTTGTTAAGAAGTGTTACTATAAATAGCGGCTGACCAACAACCACTTCCTCTTAAAAGCAAACCTATGCAAAAGGCCTGTCACAAGCAGAATCCATTTCCTTATATGACTTCCCTCAAATCCTTCAATCCATACCCAAGCAAACAAATTGTTTCTGCCACATAAATAAGATACATTTTTCTAATGTGGCAGCAAAAAAAAAAAATCACCTACAAAACAGATTCTGTACATTCTGGTAAACGGGTTCAATCGATGAGAAGAGACATTTTCTTCAGCTTTTCACACCACAAATAAAGATTAACCCAAAAGATTTGTAGGTAGTTCCAGGGTCTGCACCAGGGTCGGATAACCGCCGCTGGAGGAACAGCTGCGCTGGCAGAACTGACCACGCAAGGGTGCCCCGTCCATCGCGTGCAGTGCCTGTGCACGCTGTCATCTGAAGATGAGCTGAATTATTGGCCCTTTTTCACATCAAAGTTGTTAAAATAGTTACATACCGACATATGCACAAAACCCCCCCAAAATTACCGTGGGAAGCTAAACTCTTAACTACCCAGTTTAAAAGAGATAAACATCTCAGTGTTCTCGTTGCACAGAGGTTTGCAGAGCTGGCACGTGCATTTCGCACGTATCTGTAGAGACACACACGTATGCATGCACACACACGGACACCCACCTCCTTAAAACCTGCTTGGGTTTCTAATACAGGCACAAGCTATTTTCCTTCGACTCACCCCAACGCACAACACATGCCGCAAAAGAGCACGTCCAGTACACCAGGGAAGAGACTAAACAAGTTCCTTCCTAGCACAAAGGCACCCTCTAGAGTCTGATCCAAAAAAAGCCGACTGCATGTACCCCTAACGAAAGACGTGTTACAGTTGTTTAAAAAAATAAAAGTGGACTACTTACAAATATCAGTCCAGATATAAAAGATGAAGTCACTGTAAGGGCAAAGTAGAATTTCGGAGTCAAAGTGCTTAAGAACACAGTCACTGTTAAGAGAAAAAAAAAAAACAACAAAGACTTAAGCAGAACTGAAAAGCACAAATAGTTTATTGAACAATGCTAAATGAAATATTACGCAAATATACAATATAGCCCTAGTAACTTTACAGATAATGTTACTTTGTTAGAGAACCCTTTCCATAATTAATTACTGTTTGTAACCACCTGTGAGTGAATTAGGTTATACACCCTACAAAAAAATATTCAGTGTCAGTTCTTAGACAAAGCAGCCCACGGTTTCAACGACGTCATGGCTGGTGGACCTCAGCAAGCGACCGAATGTACAGTTTCATTTTCACCCCAGCAGAAAGGCCCTGTTTTAACCAAGCGCTGAGAACATCCCATTTCCACAGCCCTCTCCCTCGGGCACGGCCAGCCCCGGGCGGGGAAGGCCGGTCTCTAGCGCTGCTCCGGCCGCGGTTTCGACCCCCCCGGGGGCACATCAGCTCCGCCACCCGCCGCCAGCCCGGCCCGGGAGGGCGACA